AGCCAGTGTTAAACAGGGGAAGGGGAACTGAGGGAGGCAGAGACCAGAGATCCAGCCCTGCATGGGGGGAGCAGAGGCTTTTCTGCAGGTCCCTGGCTCTAAAGCACCTACAGCCCCAGGCTGGGGAGCATATCCATGGCAGGGCCTGGAGAGGGCTGGGCTGCTCGAGCTGCGGTGACTTCTGCAGGGGAGCACTGGGAGTGTGGTCAGTGAGTCAGGGGGAGCACTGCTGGCATGGGATTTAGTCCCAATTAATCCATGTTCCATGTTATTTTATGCAAGATCCAAGAGTGACAGCAAACTGGGGCTTAATTGGGTCTTGCCCATCACCCAGCTCTCCCAGTTCCTAAAAGTCAAATTTTCACCCCCTGGTATATGGGGAACACGCATTTTCCCTGAGCTGGTCTGTCCCCTTCCTCAGCAACACGGAGCCGTAAAATGAAACTGGGAAACAGCCACGGGACTGACCCAAGAGGGCCAGGGCTTTGGAGGGAGGGTTCAGGGCTCAGGGGAAGTAAAATGAGACATCAGGTGTCTTCAAGACAGGGCTCAGCAGATCCGCTGCCCAGGAAGCCCCCACCGCTCTTGGGTGTCCTGGCTGGAGGGCATCCCCGAGGCAGGGGAGAGCCCCCCCGGGCTGCCAGTGCACACAGACAGACCGGCCAGGGGCAATGGGTCTCACTCTGGTTTGAAAGAAATGCAGTTTAGGTGACCCCCCAATCCAGTTTTCTGCTCCAGAGGGAGCCAAGGCACCTGTTCCCTGCAGAACACCCGGAGCAGCAGCACAGGACCGTGGGGGTCCCACAGCCCCCCCAGGCTGGCCCCACAGCCGGAAAACAGCAGGCAGGGTGAGGAGGGTGCTGGGCTTGTGTGGGGACAACTACCCACGCACAGGGGACAGGGCTGCTTTTGCACCGCCCAGAGCAGGACAGCCACTCCTGCCCTGCTTCCCAAATCCTTTATCAGGGTCTTCCCCCACCTTCCGCTGCAAACAGCCCCAGGGTGCACTGTGCTGAGCAGCTCAGCAGCAGGACAGACTGCATAAGCAGGGGGAGCCCCAAGAGGAAACCCCTTTCAGCCCCCCACCCCAAGCATCCAGACCCACCCCAGCCCAGGGAAAGCCTCCAACCTTCTCCACGAAGTCACATCCTGCCAGAACTCGTACAGGATGAAGCAGTCCTCGTCCGTCAGCTTGCAGGCGGACACGCTGTGGGGACAGGAGTGACCCTGAGACGGGGCCCAGCAAGCTGGCACGGTGTGGCCACCAGTCCAGCCAGGCCCGGGAGCGAGGGGTGCAGGTCTGCACGTGAGCCTCAGCACAAGGCTTCCAACGAGCAGTCTGGGTGCATCCACAGTTTGCAGCTGCTGGGGCTGGCACATGGCTCCAGGGGATCCCAAACCCAAACCCTTCACGCTTCGCAGTCCTGCAGCCAGGGAGCAGAGGAGCGTGGCAGCTATTAAACTGGTCCCTGCTGCTGCCCAGAAACCAGCATGTTAAGTGTTTATTAATTATTTCTTAGTGTATCCGTAGCACTGCAGCACACAGCCCGGCAAAGGAGCTCATCCTTCCAGCCCTTCGGAGTAGGTGTGTGTCATCCCCCACCCTTCACACAAAGAGAAACTGAGGCACGAGCACAAGGAGCTGAGATCACAGCGTCAAACCACAGCTCGCTGCCCCCCGAAGTGATGCTCTGTCACCAGGCGATGCTTCCCACGCTCCCTCCTGCCACAGGAACACGCTGGGGCTTTCTCCAGCGATGGGAAGATGGAGGGAGAAGCAGCAGGAAGGCGGGAGAGCAAGGCTCAGGGTGCAGGGCCTGGGGAACATCTGCACTCAGCCTCAGCATCATTAATTCCAGCTGAGGATGAACATTTCCCCCAGCTGCTGCCAAGGGCTGCAGGAAGGGACCAAGCCCTGAGGGGAAACAAAGCAAGTCACCCAGCAGCTTGGGGGCTGCGACCCCCTGCGCAGAGGCTGCAACGTGCTTTGCGATTCTCTGGCATGAACCCGGACAGCGGAGTCTCCTCAGGCTTTGCTCCAGCTTTCCACTCACATGGAGAGCCTGCCCATGCAACGCAGTTGTCTACGCTAATAGTTCCCATGACAGAAAAAATCATCAATTCCAAAGAAAAAATATACCATTCTCTCTGCCACACATGTCAAAACAAGTATCTTCCTTTTGTTTGGACTGAAAATGCAGTTTTGCGCTGCTGGAACTGAAGAGCTGAAAAATGACACTTTAACTGGGAACAGCACGAACATTTCCCACTGAAAGCAGCTTGAAACCTCCCGTGGGAGAAGGAAGGCGCTTCTCAAAGAGCAGCTGTGCAGTCTTCAGGGACGCTCAGCAGCAGCGTGTCACTGAAGTCACCTGGGCTCCATTCTCAGCTCTGTTTGGAGCTCCAGAGCAGTGCTGGGGGTCAGAGCCTTGGTCTCGGGCAGGGGTTAAGCTTCAGGCGTTCACGGCTGCTTCCCACCAGCGCTGCACACACTTATATAAAGCAAGGCTCTGACATCAGCTCTGCCCTTGACTTTTCCCCCATTACTTTCAAGTCCTTCAGTGCTGGAAGAATGCATGCATTCACTTACATGCATACGCTACAGCCATTCCTGGCATAAAAACCAGCCCCCTCCTCGCCAGACACTGACAGTGGTTCTTACTGGGAGTACCTGCAGCAGGAGAGGGGACAGTATGGCAGGCACAGACACTGCTGCAGCCGTGACACCGTCCCGTCCTCTCTGCAAGGCCAAACCTCTGTGCACTGAGCCCACCCTTGCACTGACCAGGCACACAAAATACTCCACAAAAACCCCTTTTGAGCCCCAAGGGTGCTGTGTTAAAAGCCCCTATTTCTGGGCGACGTACTCCACAAAAACCCCTTTTGACCCCCAAGGGTTCTGTGTTAAAAGCCCCTATTTCTGGGCGACCCACGCCACAAGCAGTCCCACTGCCAGCCGCACTTACTGCAGGCAGCTGCTCTGCCCGGCGGTGACCTCCGTGTAGGACCTGAACGCCTGGCGAAACTCCTCAATGCTGCTTGTCGCCACCGAGATCTGCCTCTTGGCCACCAGGATGTGCTGCAAAGGGACAGTGGGCAAGTGGCATCAGGGACTAATCCACCCCTCCTGCCCTCCCTGCTCCCACCCAGCTGTGGGACACGGCAGTGCTGAGCAAGCACAGCACCACAGGAGAAGCCGCAAGAAGGGGCTGGTGCCACAGTGCTGGGGACAAAGCCAACGTAAAGTGGCTTCTTCCTACCTGGGCAGGGTGCCTTTACAATGGGAACCTCACCAAGGGGAGATGCTCCCTCCCCCAGTGGGGGGGTCCTGCTCTGGGGCTGCTGCAGTTCCCTGGGTCCTTCTCCCAGCAGAAAGGGGCCTCAGGAGCCCTCCACAGGGGCTCTGAAGGGTCTGTGGGTGCTCGGAGCAAACCTGGGGGATCTAGGCACTCACAAGCAGAGCGCTGCCCTCCTCTGGGCTGGCCGTAAGCACTGCCCAAGGCTTTCATGGACCTGATGGAGCTGCATTTGCCCTGGGGATGGTCCCACATCCACCTCACAGCTCTGACTCCCATCCTGCTACATCGCTGGGCAGAGAACCCCCTGCCAGACCAAAGCCAGCAGCTCCCCCAGGTGACTCCAGTCTCGGGGCACAGGGGCTGCACAAGCACAGCAGTCTGTGAGCGTAAGCACTGCCCAAGGCTTTCATGGACCTGATGGAGCTGCATTTGCCCTGGGGATGGTCCCACATCCACCTCACAGCTCTGACTCCCATCCTGCTACATCGCTGGGCAGAGAACCCCCTGCCAGACCAAAGCCAGCAGCTCCCCCAGGTGACTCCAGTCTCGGGGCACAGGGGCTGCACAAGCACAGCAGTCTGTGAGAGAGGGGACCTGTGCACACTACGGGGTTACCTGCAAACAGCAAGCACCAGGACAGGGACTTACTGCATCTCTTCCTTTGCACATCACCTCCTCCTTCAGCGGCTCCAGGCGTGGGCTCTGCATTTCACACCCCAGGAAAAATGATCGTTAGTGTGAGACCTTTGCAACAAGGTTCAGACGCAGCAGTAACCCACAACCCAGCCCAGCTCAGCGTGACAGATGGGTACCGCTCTGGGCACATTCCTTCAGGTACCCCGGGGAGTGAAGGAACGTGACCTGTGCCTCTGTGGGGCTCAGTGAGTCCAGACTGACTTGTCAGATCAGCCAGAGAGGGTTGGCAGAGCTGAGAGGAGAAGGGGGCTTTGGAGGCAGCAAGGGATGAGCAATGGGTCTGGGCCTGGTGGATGGGTGCAGCTCTGCAGCGATGCCAGCAGCGAATCCCAGGGCTGCTGGCACAGGGACAGGTCCCAGCACTGACCTGGTCAGTGCCAAGGTGCAGGGCAGTCCCCATCTGTCACATACCTTGCACTCCAGCTTCTCGATGAGCTGCTGGAGCCTGTTGATCTGTGCCATCCACTGGCTGTTCTCTTCAACACAAATGCCTGCGCAGGAAGGGCACAGAGTTGTCACTGAAGCAGCTTGCTTTCATCACAGCAAAAGCTTGCTTCAGACCCAGAAAACCACAAAAGCTTCAAAACCTCTAATTTAAACCAAAAAACTGGTTTGTTTTTCTCCTGAAACTTCTCCTGCTACTCAAGAGATACAACATCCCACAGAAGCTCCAGCTGGAGGCGGGATGCAACAGTACAGGCTCTGTCCCGGACAAGCCCCCACTGTCCTGCTCCCACACCCATTCTGGGCTCCAGTGGGGCAGGGGCACAGACACTGACCCAAGGGATGGCGGGGCTGCGGATACCTGTTGTCAGCATCCCGGAATAGGGGTCCGTTGGAGACAGACAGACATTCTTCTGTCCTCTGCGCCCACATCGTCTCCCCGACCTCAAGCCAACCGAGGTCTCAGATTTCTTTATGTCCTTTCTGAAAGAATAAAACGCAAAGGAGGGGCTGGAGTCATTCACTGTACAGGTCAGCTTCACAGCGGGCTTGGAAGGCCAGATCCTGCTCCCAGACATGCCCCTCAGGGGAACCTGAGTCCTGCCCCATGCTGCAACCCCCACGAGTGGTGGTGGGGAGAGGGGGAGGACCAGCATGTCCCACCCATTACCTCTCCCGTCCCGCCTGCTCCTCCACGGTGTCCACGGCACACTCGAGCGAGGCCTGCAGGGACTGCAGCTGGTGCATGGTTTCCCGCAGCAGGAAGCGGGTCAGGAACTGCTCCATCTTCGAGGAGGTCTCGTAGCTCTGCAGAAGAAGGGAGAGGATCTGTCAGATGCCCCCAGCTCCGTGTCAGGGGAGCAGAGCTGCCTTGGGAAGAGGCCCTTAAATAAACCCGACAGAGTGCATTCCAACCAAATTTTTTGGTCATTCTAGTAAACAATAACACTGTAGGACAAAAGCATCCTCTGGCTACACACCTGGGAGGACACAGCAGGGAATGCAGGGCACAACCCCCAACCCCAGCCCCAGCACCCACAGCCCCGGGCTGGCACA